TGCGTCAACACCCAGCTCAAGGGAGAGGAGAAGAGACAAGGGGGCATTTTAACAGCAGCTCCACTTGCGGATAGCCAGCCTCAATCCCGGCTCCAGCATTAAAACCCTTTCCGCCCCCTAAAAACCAGCATCCGTGCAAGTTGGACCAAGAGTTTGTCAGGAGTGTGGTTCAAAACTGCTTGGAAAAAGGGATGAGGTAATAATACTGGTGAAGCATGTTGTATTTCTCTCTTTCTGCCTGTCTCTCTTTCTCTTTCCTCCTCTCCTCTCCTCTTTTTTTTTTTTTTTTTTTTTTTTTTTAAGCCAGGCCTGTTTTGGGTTATTGTCTCCCCCTAAAGCCAGACATAGATCGCCTGGCCTTGCCTCCATTTTAATTGCAGGCTGAAATGGGGGAAGTGACCCTCTTCAAAAAAAAGAAATACAAAAAACCCCAACAAACAAACGAAAAAAAAACCTTGGAAAAAAAATAATGCTGTTCCTTTGGGGGGATATAGGTTATTTTTTATAAGGCTGTAACAAGTGCAAAAGTGGCTGGAAATGTTTTCTGTCATGCTGGGAAACTAGTGAGGTGTCCTCTCCCCTCCCCAGAAAAAAGTGCTGGTAAAATTTGGCGGAGGGGAGAAGGAGAGGTGCTGGGAAAAGCAGGGGTTGTGCTGCTGGATTGCCTTTGTGTCTCTGTAAATAGACATGTCAGTTCCCAAAGTAATACAAGTAGTGTCTGATAACTCAATCCCAGATGACAAATAGAGAATGGAGCAGATTTTCAGGACTGTAATAGTGGGAGGATTTCTCTTTTGAAACGGAGGGGAAAAAAAAATGTTGGTACCTCCTGAGGAGGTTCTTCCCCAGCGCGTTATTGTGAAGCGGAGCGTTAGGATGGAATCCGGAGACGTAAACCCATATTTATTTGTTTTTACACCTGACCAGGGAAAGATAAACAAAGGAGAGTTTAACAGCTCTTTAATGAATTCCTCATGCTTTTTATTTTGCAATCCCAATGATTCATTTGGCAAGCCTTGCAGGACCGGATTATTATCAGCATTGTTTAAAGCCATGCTAATTAGGAGATGTGTTTAGCAAACAGTGGTATTGTAGACACCTGTACCAAAGTTCTTGCGTGCATTTTAATTGCATCACTGGTATCATTTTTAGCATTTAGTCACTGTAATACAGATCTAGGTCTCAGTTCGTGGACTCGATCAAGTGTTTATTACAAGTGTGGGTTCTCTGTGTGCACAGAGCAGCCCTGCTACTAATGCATTAAATGTGTTTTCTCAAAAAGGACAGGGAGTATTTTTTCCTTTTTTTATTTTTATTTTCCTGTGGGGATTCAAAGAAAAAGCAGTGCTGACCAAGAAGAGTGGGAAAAACACAATTTTGAGGAGGAAGCTTGCTGTGACTGGATAGCTCTTTCACTTTAATCGATACCTTGCTTGAACACTGTGTGTTTTTGTAGCCTCTTTTAATTGAAAATAAAATTTTACTTTCCCCTTCTAAACTCCATCTAGCTTCTCTCGCTGTTTGTCAAGTTTTATATTTTGAAATCCTCAGTGATGGAAAAAAATGGGTGGAGTGTATTATTAGTCACAATATTTTCAACATGCGGTGAGGAATTGCTGCTTTGAGGTGTTTTTTGGGAGCCGGCAGGGAACGGGCAGAGGAGCTGGAGGGAGAACCAGGGGACAGGATTTCAGGGGGCTCCTAAACACACATGGCTGAAGAATATTCTGTGGTTTGCTACGTTCATGGGATAACTGCAACTGAAATAGAAAACGAATCTTTTGGTTTTGATGCAGCGTGTCCAGGAGGGGGAAACTCACTCACAGTGAAACTTCTCTCGCGGTTGTTTTCATAGACTGTGTGTTCGCCCTGATGGAACTGAGTCAATTTTAGTGTGGTACCAAAAACGGGGTATTCTAGTAACTCTTAACGTTAAGATGTTTATTCATGTGCTTTAAATGCTGCTCCATTCTGGAGTGTGGAGGATTGAGCCTTTGAAAACATGACCTGTACTCGGGGTTCTCGGAGGCTGGAGAAAATGGGCCACTTTCTCCCCGTGGTCTTTGTTTTCTGGGACAGTTGTACAACAGTGGAAATGTTCCTCGCAAGAGGATTTTTTTTTTTTTTTTTAATTTTAATATCTGGAAGTGCTTAGAGGAAAACCAGTTTAGCAGCCCCCTCCCACCCCAGCAGCCCTTTCTGTCAAAAGGAAAAATGCCTCATGTTTGGAAGGTCTGTTATTTGCCTGCATTTCCTCCGGTGATGTGTTGTGTTGCTGTGAGGTTGAGGGAATTCTTTTCGTCTTTGCTATCCACTTGTGTGGATTTTTTTTTTTTAATTTTTTTTGTTTTGTTTTTAGATCCGTGTTTTTGAAGTTTCTAAGCAAAGTTTCCTGTCCTCTCAGCAGCTCAGAGCAGGCTGACACCCAATCCAAACTGCCACTGCCTGCTTTCAGGGCAGGAATTATTTCATAAACAGCTCAACCTTTCCCAGGACATTTTTCCCTTCGTGTTCTTGCCGGGTTTACTGGCTGCTCCAGAGAACTCTGTAACGCTCCCCAGACTCCCCCTAAATTGGTAAAAACCATTCATAGGGGTTTTCCATGCTCCTGTGTGCTCAGTTTAATGGGCAAACAGAAGGGCAGAGAGAGGGCTTAGTTTAAGTCTTTGAAGAGCTACCTGCAGTTGTAATGGTTATCCCACATGTCCCCTGTAATTCCCAGGAGCCAGCGGTTTCTGCCCATTCCTGGCTGTGAGCATTACCCTGGAAAATTCTAATGCTTCGCACAGAAGGATTCATTCCCTGTTTATATTTCGAGTCTGACTCGAGTATTCTGAAGTGTGGAGCTCACCTGTGTTTTCTGTGGGAGATATTTGAAACTTAAAATGTATTAATAGTTAAAGGGAGCGTGCCGTGGGCTGTCTGCAGATACCAGGGGTCACGTTAGGAGAGAGCACGAGGACTGACTGCGGCTGAGAGGCAGAGGGAGGAATTCAGTCTGTGGGAAGTCCTGCGATCCCCCTCCACGCCTAAAACATCTCCGTGAAAGGTTTTCTGATATTTGGTCAAGCACAATGGCAGTCAGGACTCCAGTGTTAGAATTTGTTGCTTCGAAACTTCACTTACTCCCTCCTGAGGACTTTTTGTATGTTTGTGTTGCAGCCCCCTTAAATACATCCTTCAGTGGTTGGTTTTCTCACTTCCCTCTGGATCTGGATGAGAAACAAAAGCCTGTATCACTTTGTGCGGGACTTTCGCTTGAGATGCAGGAGGGGAGAATCTCAACTTCCCTAAACAGTTCAATAGTTTTCTGGTTTGTGCTGCCTTGGTGTATTTGGATGCACTAGAATGCCCAGTTTGGAGGAATGGCTTCTCCTTGGGACTCGTTCCCCATCCTGTAGCCGTTGATTGAACGTGCTGGTGTGGAACTGCTTGTTGTCAGTCTCACCTCCTGTGAAACAGGGGTGCCAGGGTTTACTCAGCTCTCCCAAAACATGTTCTGTTTTATTGTTGAAAAATTGTGCTAGAAGTGCTTATTCTTCATAAAGGCAAATCAGTGTGAAGTCCTCACTGGATTCCCTCCGGGATGTGGTGGAGTCCAGAGGCTCATGGTTGGGGTTTGACATCCCTTACCAAGTCAGCTGTGGTGCAGTTATTTTCTGAACAGTTGCTTTAACTTTCTTTCATACCCATACATTTAGGAAACATCAGACTGCTGTTGAGACACTGGCTTGAAATAGTTTCCGAGTGCTCTGCAGGCAGGGTGAGATCCTTGACAGCCATTCTAATGAGATGGAAATGTGTCCCACTTGGCAGTGCTCAGGTTAGAGCTGAAACTCACCTTTTTGCCTTGCTTTTTGGGGATGTGGCTGACTTCTGTTCCAGCCCACACAGTGGTGATCCTGGCCTGTTGCTCACTTGGCTTGTGTACGTGCTGGGGAAGAAAAACATCCCGCAAATGCTGGAAGTTGCCCTGCATTTGCTTTATTGTAAACCTGAGTTGGGGTCTCCTGCAATGAAGGGAGGCACTGAGGCATCAGAAATACTCTACAGACACATCTACGAGCTTGTGTGTGGAATAAAATAAACCTGGTAACGAGAATGTTGGTGTGTGTCAGGACCTCACCTTGACCAAGGACCCTACTTAGAATGAGTGAGTAGGGTTTGGCATATTAAGGAATGTGTTTGTACCTCTGTATACTGAAATACCCAGTCATCTTTCCTGATTATTTCCCCATCGTATGTTGAACAAACTGCTTATTCCATCCAAGTGAGTTTGCTTCCTGGTATTTCTCACTTCTGGAGAAGAGCTCTGCATAAAGTTGATGTTTCAGGTGGTTGGCTTGTTCTCTCTGAGGAAAGAGTTAAACAAAATTTGCACCTTTTGTGCTAATACAGCATCAGAGGAAATACCTTCCTGACTACTGCTCAGATCATGCCCTGAAACAGAAGAATCAATGGTCTGTATTAGCCATCAGTTACTTAAAATACCCAAACCCAACTAATTTAAGTGCCAATGAACGAAGTAGTCAGGGTGCAGTTGCTCCTAACAGTCCTGCCACTATAGTGTTGGAGAATGAGGTGGTGGCTAAATATAAAACCAGCTTTTTGACTTCCTCCTTGTTACCACTGTGTCCTTCTTGGCTTCACTCCACTTCTTTTTTTTTTTCTTTTTTTTTTTTTAATAGTAGTTGATCAAATCTGGATTATGAGATTTGTGCTAAAAAGTAAAACAGGATCCTTACCCAAGGCCCTGAGGGCTTGTACCACAAATTACACAAACAGGAGTGGGTCGTTCTCAAAGCACCTCATATGTTGTCTTTGGGTTTGCACTGGTTGACTTTTTTTTTACTCTTAGATTATTCGTGACTCCTTTTGTGTCTCTTAGGTGATCTTTCAGTTCCTCCTGCTGCTTTACTTCTCTTTAAAAATCACCTCATGATTCTTTCTCCTTTGGCTCCCTCTGTTTTTACGTACTGAGTTTGGGAACTTTGGCAAAGATCCCCTAATTAAAAAGCCAAAAACCAATGAGAAAGTTTAGGGGAAACCATTCTTCAGGGCAATTCCCAGTGTGATAAGTTTAGAGTTCTCTAAACCTTTTTTTTTTTAAGGTCCTTTTTATCTTGTTTTTTGACTAATAGATGCACAAGGGCAGAGTCTCTTGCTTAGATTTCTTTTGTGACCTTAAAGTAGAAGCTTAGGATCTTTAGGAGTTAATGACACTTGGACAGGTAAGTGTCATGTGAGCCACAGACACTGAGATTTTCTTCAGATTGTTTTTTAATCTTCACTGTAAGAGTAGAAGATATATCTGTAGCTAGATTCTTTTTTTTTTTTTTTTTTTTACCAGACTTCTCAAACCTGGTTCCCTGTAAAGCACTTGCTTTTTAAGCCCTAGATAGCTCTACCATGTTGCTTTTGTGTTCTGCAAAGTCTGTGGCGTGGGTAGTGTTGGATCTGTCCTTCTCTTGGTGCAAGGAGATGAGAGAGAATGGACATCAAAAACAGGGGAATGATTTGAGCCAGTGTTGCTGTGCTGTGATGGAGAGGGGATGGACAGGCAGGCACGTGGACAGAGGTGGAAGCTATGGGGAAACAAATAAGGGGAATGCAAAGTGCAGTGAAAATATTATTGCAAGTAAGCAGCTGGAACTAGAAGCACACACCTGTGCCCTGTGGGAAAGGTGAATCCTGTCATATTAGCAAGTTGTTACCCATAGGAATATTGTATTTCAGGCTGCACAGCTTTTACAGGCATGGAAAATAAAACTTCCTTCTGCATTCTGTTAGGTATTTGCATCTTTGAGGGTTTTCTTCTTTCAAAGCTTGTACATGTTTGTAAGAGGAGCAAAGTGCTTTCCTTGCTACCTTTGTGGATGCTCTGTAACATGCAGGTCATGCTGGCCTTTGAATACTGTGGTTCAGTAGAGTTGGATGGGAATAAAAGTCAGATCTCTTACTTTTGTATGTGGGCACATGGTTTTTCTGTAACCTTAGGCAAATATTTTGGTTTGGAGGGGAATCACTGTAACCATGAGGTGAGATTAATACTAACCCCATTTCAAGTGTGTGGGTGGCAGGGGTCACAGAAACATTAACTGAAACTTTGATGTCATCTGAGACAATGTTAAAATGGTTTGAAATCATTACATAAAGTACTGTTTTTTTAGAGTGACTTTTCCAAAGCACTTCTGTCCGGAAACATAGTCAGAAGTTGTTAATAATCTTCAAATTGATGTGTTAAACTCTTCAAGTTAACACAAGGGCTAAATCATTTTCCCTGTATGCTTCATTATAGAAATACATCAGAATATTTCTTGTTGAAATGGCAAACAGTGTTGTAAATGGGCAGTTATTTTAACTGTTGCTCGTAATTATGTGACACTCAAGGGCTTTGTATTGAGTTAAAGTTCAGATTCTAATTTTTGCCTCCTATTCTTTCCATTCCCAAACACAGGACATCTGATGAACCTTTTGGAGCTTGTTACCAGAGACCATTCTCCTCTCTTCATTGAATCATGCACTGCCCAGCTGTGAAACATCGCGACATTTATTTTGGCTAACAGGAAACACTTTTAAATATCGGTAAGTTCTCAGCATTTAAAGATATTTTTGTCATGTGGTGTGGGAAAGAGAAAGAGGAGCTGGAGATAACATTGTCGTGGGGGCTGACAGTTCTTTATAAAGCTTGACTTTACATTCATAACAAGGGGTCATTTAGAAATCTTAGCCAGCTGCAAAAGTTGGAAGAAATACCTCTGGGCTGTTCTTCTGCTCCTTCCCTGTGGCAGAGGTGCCTCCATTAATCGTGGTCACTCGGTTCTCATCTGTTTGATCAGAAGAGGAAAACAGCTGCAGAGCTCAAAGCAAGGAGAAAAACTGCAGAGCAGTTCAGAATAGTGTAGGCTCAGCTTTGCCATTCTTGCCAGTCTGTTCTGGCTCCCCTTGTGCCCTGGGACAGAGGTGTAAATGAGAGTTTTAACAGTAACAGCCCTAAGTCCAAGTGAAAATAAGTATTCCTGTTACCCTGTGCTAACAGAGTAATTTCCCAAGTGTCTGGGTTGGTCTGGCTCCCTCACTGCCCCACTTTATTTTTTCTTAACTGTCTAAATAACAGGACTAAAAAGAGCTGGCCAAAACAATTGCTATGGAGAAGCAATCAGAATTAGAGAAAGGCAAGACTTGGCCGTCTGAAATAGAAATTGAGAACAAAGTCACTGGTGTTTGCTTCAATTGGGTCATATTTGTTTTCAGGATTTTCGGTTCTGTTTGCCGTAAGAATGCTTGGATTTTCCTTATTGCTTCATTTGTTTATTAGATATTTTATTTCACCTTCTATAATGACATTAGTTTGTGTTGGAAAAGCTTTCTTAATTTTTATCTTCTGATGTTTTCTTTCACAATCTGTTACTACAGAAGGTCAGTTTTGAAATCAGCAGTATTGATTTATAGCTTATTTTCATTAAGAGAGCTAATCTGTGTATTGAAGATGTTTGAAATGCAGAGATCAAAAAAGTCTTTGTCGTGGCTATCAGCATAAAACTTTAAATAAAACCTACTCAGAAGTTTAAGTTGGAAGTTAAATATTGCCAGTATGTGCTATTCTGAAAAAAATAAAGTTTGTTTTGTATAAGAAAGATAGGTGTGCAAGATGATAATGTTAGTGGATGTGTCCTCACAGACAAAAGCCTTGGTGTAGATGAACTATTCCTATTCCTAGTAGCTTGTAACTGTAAATAGGATTTATCTGAGAAGTCTCTCTGTGAGTGTGCCTTTCACATATACTGAAGTACCTGTATTTTACACAGAATTTTAAAAATCTTAGGATGGTTTGGTCTCTTATCCCAGAATGATGTCAACCAGTAGAACTTTACAAGAGGAAATTCTCCTGAGTATTCCACTGCAAACTACTTTCAGGAGCTGTAGTGGAGCTTTTTAACCTCAGTATTTCATAGGTCAGGTAAGGTGAGTCTCTTTAAAGAGTCATTAAAGTGAGAATGTTTTGAAAAGCTCCCAAACAGGAAACCCTGTTGTTCAAGGGTTTGTTTGAAGTTTTAGTAGCTAAAATTAGACTTTTTGTTCCCATACATTTAAGAAATAACTCCTGCTTATATTGTTACTAAATGGTAGCCAGGCTTTAATTACCTGCAGTGTATTGATATGATTGGAGTTAACTTTTTTGGGGTTCATGAAGTCATAAATAGGGATGTTATGAGTTTGGAGGGAAGGGACCTCAAAATGCCTCACTGTTCAGTAATCTTGTTGTTTAATGCTAATAATTTCCTCTGGTTTTGCTTTTTGTCGTAGTTCTGTCTTTCTCCTACAAGAGTTCACTCCAGTGCTGTCAGAAGGTCACGGAACAGGGCACTACCTGTGCTGCCCTGGGGCTGTTGATGTCCTCAGCTGTTGTAGGAGAAACACTAGACCTGGAACCCAGTTTGTTACTGGTAAGAAGTAATTGTTTTGGATTTTATTTATTTATTTATTTATTTATTTATTTTATTTATTTATTTAATATTACGATTCATATGTTTCCTCTAACAAAATCAGTAAATATCTCTCCACTGCTTTTTACTTTTAAGAACAATATAGCAAAATATGCATCTCTGCTCTTTTTTTTTTCCCCTAATATTTTTAACTTTACAGTTTCTAAGTTTCTAATTTCCCTCCATCCAAAATATGGAGGTTAACAGTTTTCATTTAGATCTCATTTTCAGTCCTGGTTTTCTCTTTAAATTCTTCATGCACTGTCAGAGCCAATGAAGGTTAATAAATGGATTTTTCTTCGATTCCTGCAGAAATCCTGTGTTTTGGTTGCATTTTTCTGATGCCAGCTACTGCACAGGTTGGCCCTGTAACTTCAGGTGGATGGTTTGACAGGTCAAAGGCCACAGCCAAGTCTCTGGTTTAGAGTTTTGGAGTAGAGGGTGAAATGTTAAATGATGGCTCCCTGTTATTTTAAGCTGTGCTATTGGAGTTAGATTTTGCTTGTGGTTCGTGTTTGGACTGTGCTTTAATGAAATACTAGAAGTGTGTAGTGTTCTGTCCTGCTGTTTGAACTTCACTTTTGGGCTTTCTGGATTATATCTATGCAGAGATTCTAAGCAGAGATGTTGTTTTAATGCTCTGGATGATGGGGCAGTGTTGGCTTGAAGTTGGAAAAATTTTAGTGAATCCTCATCAGGCTGATGTTAATTAAATAATACGTGTACACTGACAGTTGAGTGAGCCGGTTCAAATTTCATAATAAAAATCGAATTAGTATTTTCCTTTAAGTTTACTGAAAATCATTTGCTTCCCAAGTTCTTGCCTTTTCTGTACCTCTGTAGTATTTCTCAAGCTAAATGATGAAACTTTTTTTTTTCTTTTTTTCTTCCTGTGACTCCTAACCCATAGGGCTGAACGTGCACTGTTGGGCTCTAATTAAACGTTCTCATCCCCGGTCATTGGGGAAAAGTGGTAACTGTTGTTTGCATGAAACCCTGAGCTGTGAGTAACCTCTCTGACCCAAGGGTCTGCTTTGGTCTGTTTACAAACATCTGCCTGTTTCTCTTTGAATTCAGAGTTGTGGTCGGAATGACCAACTTAAACAAGGGGTGATGGGTTTCAGGAATCAGAGTAGGGCAGGAGACTTGGGTTTTTGGCAGCTGTTCGTTTTCATAAGATGTTACTTACATCTATTTTGAACAAAGCTGAACATATGAGTATAATCTGGGGTTATCTAGTGTCAAGAAATTAAAACTCCTCTAGAACTGTGTGCTTCCTCGAACGCACTTGCGAGGAAACTCTGCACTTGTGGAGATTTGTGCTTGTAAAGCTCACGAGCAGAGTCTTTGCAGGCAGTGACCATCCATTAATACCCTGAGTCTTCTTTTCCTCTCATTTACCAGAATAAGTGGTAGGTACTGTCCTTTGCAGTTGCTAAGGTTACCTTGAGGGGTTTTGTTCCCATTCTTTTCAGCACGGGGCACACGGAGTGGAGGAATCCCGTGTGTTTCTGTTGTCTTTAATTGGATAAAAGTGAAACTTCCATACACACTGTGTCTTGTTGTGCAAGGAAGCATTTCAAGCCCAATCTCACCTTACAGAGCTCCTTTGCAGAGGAATTTAAAAAATGTTGGAATGTCTTGGGAGTGGATACAGGGACAGGACACAGGGGAGGCAGAGAAGTGGGGTGTGTTTGTTGGTTTTTTACATAATAAACCATTGGAGTGAATTTGAGTTCTTCCTTAATCTGTTTTTACTTTTCTCTGAAGGGAGAGGGGGGAAGAAACAACACATTTTTGGTTAAATTCCAGTTGGCATATTTTCTCCAGGGAGCAGTGTGGTGGAGGAGTGCACTAGTGAGTATTTTGGTACTCTGTAACTTGGGTCCTTGGTATTAAGGGTAGAAACACATTTAGAAAATTGTAATGGACAAACTGTCATGTAGTTTAAATCTTCAGCTCACTTATATTCTGAGAGAGGAAAAAGTAAACAAACAAATGAATCCTAACAGCAGCAACCCCCCCAAAAAACTCTCCAGGCCTCTCTTTTTTTTTTTTTTTTTCCCTGTTTTCTTTCTGAGTGAAGGAAGTTTATTTTTGGCCCCACTGTTGCCCAGGGGACTGCTCTGTAGAGGACTTTGTGTGTACTTCACTTCTTGACTGTGACTTTTTGTCAAAATTCAAGTAATACACTGAGATATAGATGCAACAAATTTGTACCCCTTAATTTTACTGGTGTTAAGATTTTGGTCAGGAGACTTATTCTGATTATGCTGAGAGGTATGGCCTTGTAAGTATTGCTGGTTACTTTTCTTAAAACCTTTCCATTGGGAAGTGAGGTTTGTGTCTATTTAAACTCTTAACTATGTCATCAGGTGATACTTTCATGTTTAAGTAACTGTACTGATAGTGCAAAATAAGGCACTTTCATAGATGCTCTATTTGTAGAACTAGATTCATTCTAGCTAGGGTTAAAGATTATGTAAATTATAAATGGTTTATTTAAGACCAGCTTTTTTGATGTGAAAAATAAAAGGTAGACCTGTATCCTGACAGAAATTTAATGGCAGTGGCTATTAAATCTGTTCACACTGTGTTCTTTTTGCTGTTACATGCAAGGGTTTGTTTAGGGACAATTTTTTTTGTTGTCGTTTTTGGGAAAGCAATAGACTTGAATTACTGTAGTGTCTATGCATTGGCTTATGAAGAAAGCCTGATATGCTACAATTTATTTTGTGGAAAACCTTCAGATGAGCTTTCATGGTTCGTTGGCTTCCTGGAGAGCTGTGTTGTGGTCATGTGCTGCCATGGCAGGACCAGCCCTAAAGAACTGTAGTAGGTGCTCAATTTAGAAACCCTTCAGTGTAGTAAAAAGACCTGAGATAAAACAAAAAATACATCATTGGTCTTTGAGGTCTGTTTCTAAGAAAACTCCACAGCTTATTCCTTCTTAGCTGTGCTTCCACTAGAAATTTGAATGGTACAGCTTTTCTGAAGAAATCTTTCCACAGCATTTTTTAAGTGGAGATAAATATCATTACCAGAAAAAGAGAAAAAAACCCCCTAAACCAGCAACAAGCCACAAAACAGCATGTAAAATTGGAACACAAGAGCACGGGGTTTTAAAGCTTCCTGAATTTTTAACTACTAGCAAATTGCCTTAAATTTAACTTGGATTAATTCCCTAGTGATCCTTGACATTAAATGGATGCTCTGGTTTGACATGGGTGGACAGAAAACTAATTAATTCCTCTGAATTTAAGGCATATTTAATTTTCTCCCCCAAAGACCTCTCATTTAAAAGGTACAATGCCTGTGACAGATGCTGAATGTGGAGTGATGTGTGTAAGGTGGCAGACCTTCCATCAGGGGAAAATCAAGACATCTACAAGAATAATTCCTGACTTGGAAAATGTTAAACTTTATTGATTACACTGAACGTGGGAGAATCCACATCATCACTTGCTTACTTGAAAGTGTTGTGATGTGCCCACCTCACTGGCCAGTAGGGAATCTTGAATAGATTTGTTTGTGTCTGGTAAAATTTCCCTGATATCTTTTCTGTGATATCTTATCTCCTGCTTCCTAAAGAGATGAGCAAGTGCTTCATCCATAAGTAGCACTAAATTAGTCAGTCTCTGAACTTCAAGCTGGTCCAGTCTAAACCAAAGGTAGCAAGAAAAAAATATTTTAAAATCTGTGTTTCTGCCATAGGCAGCTTTAAAAAAGGACAAGGAGTATCTGAAGTGGACTGTTATCAGTGAGGTGGGAACCCAACCCACTGCACTAAGCTCAATAAATGAAATAGCAAAGAAATAAAATCTCAAGGAATTTATATAATTTCCAGGTGAAGAACATTGAAGAAGAAAAGCTCTTGTTGCATAAATTCCCAAGAGCAGGTGGTGATGTTGACAAATACTCCTGACGCTATTCTGTATGAAATTGAGGAAGAGAAAATTATCCTTGCAGGAGATTTCCCTCTTCCCCCTCCCAGTTCCAGGGAGTTGGGTTTTTTTTGGAATATGGATTTTGATATCCATGAAGGTACAGTAAAAGGAAATTCCATATCCAAAATATTCTGATGTCTTCCTGATTGTAACCTGTGTGAGGTTTTCTTGCATCTCCCTCTGAATCGTGTGGATATGGCAGCTGTTGGAGACAGGACTGATGATGGACAACTCACTTTATCCTATGTGGCAATTCATATTTCCTGAGGGGACAAAGCTGACTCTTCAACTCCTAAAAGTAGATGCAGTAGTGGTTTCTGGAATAAAGACAAAACTGAGCTGTCATTCTGCCTTACGAGGCGGTTCTCTCCAACACGGAGATGTTGGGAAGCTGTGGCAGCCACCTCCAGAGCCTGGGTTAGAGAGCTGCTGTGCTGGCTGGTGCCATCACAACCTTTTCAGGTCAAACACCTGAAAAATCCGTGGGTTTTTTTTTCCCCCCATGCTCCCTGACTCTGATTCTTTGTTTGGTTTTCATTGATTTATTTCAGTTATTTGAGATGGAGATGGTGTCTGTGTGAGGATTTGGTTTGAGGTCTCCAGGCAGATTTCTGTGGTAAATAGGTGTTGCTCAGTGTACAGCTGTAATGTTCTTGACCTCTTCCAGTTCAAATAAGAAAAAAATAAAAATTGGTTTCTCTGTGCATTCTATGCTTAATTCTGCAGAAAAGCTGCACTGTTTTGAATTTGGTGAACACCAGTTCAGGCTATTTGTGTTGCAGGAAGATGGTCCTTCCTCTCTCGAGGGAAGCAAGTGCTTCTGAGTGATCAGGGACCAGCTGGTCATGCAAATCAGCATTTCCAAGGCTGCAGAGAGGCAGCTCCATCCTTGCAGAACTGGGGGAGGCTTGGAGCAGTCTTGCATAACTCGAACTTTTGAGTCATCAGGTGACTCTCTCGAAGGTCCCATCTCCCGTTTGTTCTGTGGGCTGGGAGGTGCTTTTCTGGCCAACAGTGTTGACTAAACTGCAGCTGTTTTGCTCCTGGTGATGATAATCATAGGACAGGGTAGGAGAAGGGGGCAGGAGGCTTATGGGTCTGTATTCCACAGTACAGGAAACACACTTGGATGTGTCAGGATACTTCCTGAATCACGGCTGTCCTAGAATTGTGAGCCAATTCGAGCAGATGGGGCTGAATTTGTGTGTGAACTCGATGGATGTTAGAAACGTGCTCCAGGCTCTCATCAGCCTCCTTAATGCCAGTGTTTGTATTGAACCGTGTCTGCTTCAAGACTCTTAAGACCTCAGAGATTTCAGTTTTATAAGTAACAACCAGTAGCCTAAATCCAGGCTTCTGGATGTGTGTGCCTGCCCATAATAACATTTGGAACTGGGTCCAATTTTACAGTTGTGTGTTGACATGTGGACCCTCATACCAATTCTACAGTTGAAACTTCTTATATTGGAACAACTGTAAGTTTTTGAGAGAAAGGGGTAAGATATCTTTCACCTCGGTGCTCTTAATTAGTTGGACCATTAAACCACTGTGACACGATGTATAAATCTAGATAATAATTTCCCAAAAAGTGGTGTAAGAGAAAGAAAATGGCAGAATTGAATGCCAAGGAATTTGTAAAGCTGTGTCAGCAAACTATGGAGTTGCAAAGGTAATAACTGGGTAACATTCAGTCTGAAAATCCTAAGACTGCTTATTACTGTCAATATATACACATTTAGGACCTTTTTTCCTGTTTTGGCGTGTAAGAGGATAATTTGGAGCATAACTTGCAAGATACATTGCTGCTGGCACTAATACCTTTTTTTTTTTTTTTTGATAATACTGCCAAATTTTATGAGAGGCGATCAAAGACCCTGTGAATTTTTCTCAGCTTTGTTATGTTGGTCCTTTCTTTAGGGGATCATGAGAATTTCTCTCCCCGATATCTCAGGGTGGCTGTGGGGTAAACTTGGAGATGTAAAGCCGAGGAAATAGCATGTTTGTTGCAAAGTAAAAAATCTTGTGCCTGTAAGTAGTTAAGCTTCAAATAACATTAATTTCATAGTTGTGATGTATTTCCAGTTTAGTTTGGGTGGGGACTTAAAATTTAGTGATCTGTGGTCTTGGATTTGCCTGACTTTTAAACCATATTTATAGCCCCTCCACAGCAGTATAAACAGGAGAAATGCTGGATTCAATTGGCTTTTGCTGTGTGAGGATCTCAGCTATTCAGTGTACTACAAATCATGCTTGTTCCCTTGAGGACATTGTGTTAAAGGGTGCTCTTCAATAGTCTTGCCTCCATCAGTGTGATTTCAATTTTACCAAACTCAGGGTAAAAACTGACAGCTGTTGTACCCTGGTAACTTCAGGTTTCCTTAAGAGTCTGTAGTGATTTAAAGAAATGTTTCTCTGGGATGTTACGAACCACAGGAGGATTGGCTTCAAACCTAGTTCTTCTTAATATAAATTGCTTGAAGTGTGGTCAAAGTGAGCTGCATCATGTCAGTGGATGTGCAGTTGCAGGCAGTAGCTGTATTTGTGACATTCTTTCCCCATGAACCTGTTGCTTAATTTGGCACCTCTCGGGGTTTGTCTCAGCCTTCGGAAAACACATTTGTGAGCTCATCGTGGATTTTTGTAATACTGTCATTTCCTTCCCCGTGCAGGACTTGTGGAAGAGGAAACATAAAGATTTCCAGATGAATAACCGAAAGGAAGATATGGAGATTGCTTCCCACTACCGTCACCTGCTGCGGGAGCTGAACGAGCAGCGGCAGCACGGCATCCTCTGCGACGTCTGCATCATCGTGGAGGGCAAGATCTTCAAGGCTCACAAGAACGTCCTCCTGGGCAGCAGCCGCTACTTCAAGACTCTGTACTGCCAGGTGCAGAAAACCTCTGACCAGGCCACAGTCACCCACCTGGACATTGTCACCGCACAGGGCTTCAAGGCAATCATTGACTTCATGTATTCCGCGCACCTGGCGCTGACCAGCCGCAACGTCATCGAGGTGATGTCGGCTGCCAGCTACCTGCAGATGACAGACATCGTGCAGGCCTGTCACAACTTCATCAAAGCTGCTCTGGACATCAGCATAAAGTCTGATGCCTCGGAGGACCTCGTTGATTATGAGCTGGGAGCCCCTTCCAGCAGCAGCACGGACGCTTTGATTTCGGCGGTGGTGGCTGGCAGGAGCATATCTCCGTGGTTGGCTCGGAGAACCAGCCCGGCAAACTCCTCTGGAGACTCAGCTATTGCCAGCTGCCACGAAGGAGGGAGTAGTTATGGAAAAGAGGATCAAGAGCCAAAAACAGACAGCCACGAGGACATTTCGTCCCAGTCTCTCTGGGCCAGTGACATGGGCTATGGGTCTTTACGTATCAAAGAGGAACAGGTTTCACCGTCGCATTATGGAGGGGGTGAGCTTCATTCTGCCAAGGATAGTGCAATACAGACTGGGTTCTCGGAGCAAGGAGTGGGGGAGGGCTGGCAGCCCACGGGGCGCAGGAAGAACAGGAAAAACAAAGAAACTGTGCGGCACATTACGCAGCAAGTGGAGGACGACAGCAGGGCAAACTCCCCAGTGCTGCCTTTTTCACCTGCCTCGGGATGGCCATACAGCAGTCGAGACCCAAGTAAGTCATTCTTCCAGTTTTTGGGGCTGAAATTAAAAAGTGTTGAGTTCATTAGATCTGTTTATGGTGTGATCTTATCAGTCCCTGAATTACAAGCCTGACAGTAGAAGCTTGCGTTGCCAGCAATTCAGAAGCACCAAGTGCTGCACGGTTCGGTCAGGAGCTGCAGTGTCACGGGCTGGTTCTCCTGTAAAACCAGAAGTTCGGTTTTGTTTTGGGCTTGAACGGCCTAAATCACCCCCAAAACACCTCTATGATTGTTGGAATTAGTGAGAGGAAAGGTTGGAATTTATTTTAGCAGGTGTGCAAACTGATGTCAGGGTTGAAGAATTTTCCTTCACGCAGTGTGTTGATGATGTAGTTACACCACACACAGGTGTAATTTAGTCCTACTGATTCCATCTCCAGAACTTCCTGATGTTCAGGTGTCACTTTCTCTGGGGTGAGAAAACCACCATAGCTCATTGCTGGTAATGGCAGGGTCAGTGTTTGGTAACTCTTAAGAATAATGTGCTTTTTCTGAGGCGCTGCTGTGGCTTCAAATGTGTTTTGATGTGTGACCACTTGTGGTCTGAGATCAGTGGCTGCTGTAAAGTGTGTAGCCAGTGAAAAAAATGTTTTCTTGACTTCCTTTGAATCTTCAGCAGTTATTTGTCTGTCTCATGATAATTGTCCTACTTGATTCATTGATCAGTCACAATTAATAGATCCTAGAATGCTACTGAACCAGGAGTTTGGTGTTTTTTCCTAGGGACTTTAAGGAAATGTGGGATTTAACTTTCTCAAGTTGACTTGAAGAACTTAGTCCATGCTGTGAGGTAGCCTGTGTTTCATTGCATACCAGAACCCAAGTCAGCCAGGAGAAGGGTGTGTGAGATTGTAGACTTTTATGATGCCAAATTTGGATGAAAAAAGCAATATAAAGAGTACTAAAAGTCTTAAGAGTCTTTATGGGCTGAAAAAAGAGGTTTAGGCTGCTTACATTCTGGAGTTTAAATGTGGTTTTCATTGAACGAGTAACTCTGCAAATGTCTTGAGATTTATTATGTTTTATGGTTATCTGCTGCAGCAAGCTTGCATGTAATTATTCTAATTAGCTGATGATAAAATCTAAACAATGTCAGTTAGAAGAAAAATGCAAGATAATTTAAGATAAGAGTGATTTATGATGAATCTTGTTTTTATAATGCATGCATTTTAGGCTTGTTCTGAGTTAAGACTCAGCCTGGATTGCCTGGTGTGCTGTTCTCATGCAACTGTTTTTCATTTTTCATGGCATCCCATAAAAACAACTCAATCACTTGTACTGTCTGAGGCGTGTGGGCTTGGGACAGTACCTGGAATGAACCAGACATGGAGTGACTGCAGAAACAGAACTGCAGCTCTGATCCTCCTGGAAACTTGTTACAGATTGGACATCTTTACTGAAAACAGTGCAAAATAGAAGACACTGTATTACTGGAAGCTGAACGAAGCGTAGATTATTTAATTCCTAATTGTTAAGGAATTAAATTGCAGTGGCTGTTTGCAGATGAGAGGAAGATGGCTCAGGGGCTTGACTCAGCATGGTGCTGAGACAGCACGTCAGCAGGCACATCAAATTATTTGTTCCAAATCTTGTCTTAAATGAGGTTTCCAATAAAAGAGGTGGTTCCAGTGGTGGGAAGGGGGAAGCTGAGTGATGGTGGTTGGGGAAAGATGTCAATATTCCACTAGTGCTGGTAAAACAAAGGTTAAAAACGAATGGCAACACTTCTCTCTGTCCAAAGTGAATAGGCACAGGGGCTGCTGCTCCAAGAGCAGTGTGTGCCAAGGGTCCATGAGGAACAAGGAGGGTGTGTGGAGGCTGAGCTCTTGTGGGTTCCCCATATTGGCCATCTGGAGAGATGAATGGAAGTGAAGTTCTCCTTCCTGCCCTGCTGGAAAGGGAGCTTTATCTGTGCTGTGGGGCCTAAAATTGTGGGATGGGTGCATGTGGGCTTAGCAGCAGGGATTCTCTGCGAGCCCTGTGTGTGTCTTGGGTCAAATTGTCTTGTCTCTGGGGGATTTTTTGGTATAATTTCAAAGGATTTGAGATGCAAATGTTCAGTTTCAGTTAACCTTGGACACTTTGCCAGCAGCCTCTCGTGTGCTTGTGTGGTGGATGTGTGGTTTGGGTGAAATCAGTTGGTCACTGAGGTGAGACTGCAGCTCTTTCAGTGTGAAGTGAGAGCACTCCTGCTCCCCCAAACCAGCCCTGTCTGGGGCCCTGCAAGCAGCAGAGTGTTCTGGTCTCACGTGATTATTTCCCACATCCAGCAGGTGGAAGCAACTTTCCTGCAAGCTGCTCCATCTCCCAAGTTGCCAAGCTACGGGGTTTAGCTTGGTTTGAGTTTTGGTGCCCCAGGCTCTTCCCTCTCCTGTTAGAATTCAGCAGTAGTGTAGGGGTGTTGCAAACTTGACTCCTAAACATGAAGAATAATTGATTTTCTTGTGTGCAAATGGATAATAACACAGTGCAGACACTTCTAACAAATAATTGGGATGTATTTAACTTTCAGTGTGAAGTTGTCTTTGATTTAGTCGTGTCAGGTTTCATTCTTTAAAACACACTTCATAGTCTAGGGCTCTTTTTCACCTCATTTATTTAGAAGTGTCCCATTGTTCACAGCTAAGATGAAAAGCTACTCATTTGCTGAGGAAATGGGTGTTGAATGTTCTTTCTTAAGTAACTAAGAGGAAAGAAAGTTACCTAGAACTCTTTGTTCTTTGAGTCTCTTTCACTTTTCTGATCTAATGGTTATTTTAAGATGCTGGTTGCTAAGGCTGAAAACCCTTGTTCTGGGATAATTTGGGTACCATTTGTGAATGCCTCTGTGCTGGAGGACTAACACAGACCTGACAATGCAAAAGTTGATTCAGGATGATCCAGCTTCAAAGTTGAGTCTTCCCAAAATTGAGCAAGGTACTCATTTGGTCTTGGTTGCAAACAGCATTGCATTTCAGCAACATTTTGGAAGGGGAATCTTGCAAGTAACCACTGCATCACCCTTTGATTATTTGGGGCAGTATACTTCACAGACTGAAAATGCTGCTCCTGCTCCTGTATTACACAGGATTACTTCATTCCAGTTGTATTACAAAGAAGCACATTGCAGTCATTGAAACTGCTTTTCAAATAACTCACAGCTCATTCACACTCAGCAGTGGTGCTTCTTTCAGTGGGAAACATGTTCTTATCAATGCAGGCAGGTGTACTAAAGTGTCTCAGATATTTAAGCAGACTGTATTTAATTACTAATCAATGAGGTCTGAAAAAGACAAAGATTTTTTTTTAAATTGAAAGGGTAAAAAAATTCCTTGTGAATCACTTGATTCTTTCCCAGATGCTGGTGAGTGGGGTGCTCCTGAGAGCCTTTGAATTTTACAGCATTACAGATTAAAATAAAAAGGAGTGCCTGGAGTAATCGTATTAATGGTAATCAAACATCATGGAAATAGCAAGAGATTGTTCATATCTGCCATGAAGAGTCTTCTTCGTCCAAGAAAGGATGATCAAATAGGATTTGCAAAAGAATGCAAACGAAGTTGAGGTGCTGGATTGAGACTGTGACTCAGCTCACAGTTTCCCAGGGTGGTGTCAGTCAAGCACAAAGCTTGATGAGAACCATCTTTTCATGCTAATTTCAGTTTATTAGTTTGGATTGTCTGTTTAGAATCAAACACATAGGATTTTCTCTTTCTTATCCTGTTTGGGTTGTTCAGGATGTCAGCCTGTCATTCCTTGTATGAAACATTCATATATATGTTTTCCTCACCAACCCACATAGCAAAATGTTGCTGGATTTGCTTCTTCATGTAATGGAAAACTCTGTCATTTGGAGGGTGTCTTTTGAAGAATTTATTGATGGCTTTATTAATGTGTTAGTTCAAGCATAGTAATTATGATTCAGGAATTTTATTTCTGAGGAAATACTCCCACGCATCTTCTGATTGTTTGCACCCAAAAGCTGCAAGTGGATTTCTGTGTGCCAGTTGACTGTGAAATGAAACTAATTATTTTAAAACCAGAAAAGTCCTTTTTAAAGACTCTGCACTTTGGGAACTCTTTGCCTTCCTTTGGTTACATGCAGTGGAATTTCTGTATTGTGTAAGAGGAGCTGCAGGACTTGATTAAGCCCAGAGCAGTGACCTCTGTGAGAAGGACAGGCAGGACTGCACTGTATCCTCCTGACTTTGCAGAGTTCACAGTCCCTTTAACATTTTCCCTCTCAAAATCTTTAATTATGCACAAGTTTCCTCCCTCCTGGTGAGGAGACGTTGGAGTTCCTCATTTTCCAGTGACACACATGTGATGGCAGTGCCTGCTGCAGGGAGCTGTGCTGGCAGCTCCCCGGGAAGCCTGGAGGCAGCTGCTGTCGTCAGCCTTTCCCCATCCCTTTTCCTGTCTTGGTTTCTAGAGAGCAAATTATGATTACAGGAGCTGTTGGTGAGCACAGATGCTTAACAGTTGGATCATATAGTGAGCTTACATTGCAGAAGGCTTCAGAGGAAGGCAAGAAAGCCCATTCTAGATGAACTCTCAACAGTTTTGTGCAGGTGAGGTCTCTGGACCTGTCTGAGTGCAGGCAGGTAAATGATTTTATTCTTGAAAAAAAGTCTTTTTCTAATCAAGGTACCAAGACTTCCTGCAACTCTGTCCCTCTGTTGATGCAGATCTTCCTTGATTCATATTTTCAAATTATTATTAATAATTCCATTGAAAATTCCATTGTTTCTGTTGCGATATTTGGCAGACATATCAGTCCAAGTAGAAGAATACAGATTTTGCAAAATGAGAAAAGGGGGGTTAAAAATGAGTGTGGCATTTGTACTCAGGATCTAGGTGTTCAAGGAACTCTTAAAGATTTTTGTTCTGTTTTATGAGACAAAAACAAATGTATTGAAGGAGGTGTTAAGGAAACTCTTGGAAGCATGTGGTGTTGAAATGATCCATGCAGTGTGGGAGCCAGAAAACTCCC